AATATGGTAGCATTTTCTTGGTCTTCCAGAGTTATGTATAGTTATGTGTAGTGTAGACCTATTTTATATATACGTAAATTAGTTCTATGCTGCTATTATCCCAAAAATTAAACAGAACTACTAGATTCATTTATGAATCAGATATCAGTCTACAGTACAAGGCTTTAATAGGGAGAACACTATTCCAGTTGTCATACCTAGTAAACTTCAATAAATGCATTTTGTGTATCTATTTCTTACATCCTTATGCTAAATAGAACTCAAACTATTAGAACAAATAAATTTTATTTACAGCTCTTTCAATTAGAAAAGTTGCGCAGTCTAACTTTTATTTATATGTACTAGAGCAGGCATGTCAAACTCACGATGTCACGTGACGTCGCACGACATATCATGACTTTTTCCCCATTGCCGGCAATGGGGTAGGCGCGATTTCAATATGATTTATCCGGCCCACGGGCCGGCAGTTTGACATGCCTGTACTAGAATCTCACTTCCAGCTTGATGTCGCGGTGCCGCAGGAAGACAGGGCTCCGTCTTTCCCATCTGAATTTGCTCCACTGGCCAGTCACAAAGGTCCTGACAGCCGAAGTCAAAAGCACCACCAAGCAACTTTCAAGCACTGTGGATGAAATTGATGATCCTCTCTTTAAGATTCTAAGTTTTATTTCCTGAAAATGCTGCCCAAAGCATTTTTAGCCCTGTGAGGAGAGAGGAAAGGGAATTTTTACTCCACCCTCTAAGAAAAGTGGCGACTTATTACCCAGGGGAAAGAGCAACCATAAGATTAATTTTAATCTAATAGGATATATATTCTTTTGAAACTTGGGGACTAAAAGTGTTCTTTTTTCTTATTGGAGACTGCTGTTTTTTTTAAAAAAAAATAGACTTGAAAAACCGCCATATAAGTTTTGGACTTAAAAAGCTATAAAACGGCATTGGTGACATCTTGTGGTGAATTATGGTATTACAATTTGTTATTGCCTAAAAGAAACCTGGCTTGAAGCCCAGACTTCAGATAAAATTTGTTTGGCCTTGACAGCTACTAACTTTGAAAAACCCAGCTGCAAAGAAGGGATTTCTGGGCGGCTTATCTGTGTGGCAGGAATGATGTACTGTTTTGGAAGCTGTCCTGCCTGAACTATGAATGTTAACTTTTATTGACTCTCAGAGCTATGCTTGGGGAATGCTTTCCTATTTCCCGAATGAGAAGCATATATTATTACACGAGATGATGTAACACCTTGGATTATAAACTCTTATTTGATAAACAATTTCTATTAGTAAGACCACCCATAAAACGTGAAATAGATGTCCCATACCCAGCTACAAAAGACAAAAATTATTTTTAATGTTTGATTCTAAAGTCTTCAACTTAACATATTATTAAGAAAATATGGATGAAGATCAGGAAAAAATCCTTTCTATGTTGAAATCAGTATACAAAACTATACTTTCAGCTTGTGATAAAATAAGAAGCAACACAAAGGAACAATGTTCTAGCTTAAATATACAAACCTAGATCTTGATTACAAGCAAAGAAGTAACAACGCAGAAAACAAAAGGAAAATTGGAACAACTAAACGCTAAGACAGAGGATCCAACTGACCAACAGACCCAGCCAACTAAAAAATCAGAAAATGGAGTGATAACATTGAAAATGGAAAAGACTTTTCACAAATCAAGAAATCAGAATATATTTGAGGAAAAGGAAGAAGAACGGATTGAATGGAAGATAAAGTTATTAGGACAACTGTGGGAAATTGGAGTAACAGGGAGGCAGTTTAATGAATACCAATGGACTTGTTCTTCCAAAAAAATTTCAGCCAAATGGTCTTTCTTATTCCAAATAATATATATAAAAATAGAGGGAGTACTATTGCTGGCAAAGGAAGAAAGCCAAAGTAAGGGTGAAGAAAATAATTAGAGGAAATATTATATTACCAATTAGATGGTTGAATATAGTGGAAAATACATAACTTTTAGAAAATAGAATAATATTATAATTAAATAGATAAGATGTGTAAATAGAATATTATTAGACTTTGGTATGAAAAGGGAAAAAGGGAGTTGAGATAAGGGAAGCTTTTGGTCACCTAAATATAAAGTACTTGGAAATCATAAATAATAGTGTTTTCTTGAATATTGATGGGAAATTAAAGCTTGAAAAAACCCCGCAATAACAGGACATTGATTGTATACAAGGAATAAGTGCAAACGCAATTAAGATACGTATAAGCTAAAAATTATTGATAACTGTAACAAAGATGTTTTTATTTTGTTGTTGTTAATTGCGAAGTCATGTGCAACCCATCGCAACCCCATGGACAACGTTTCTCCAGGTCTTCCTGTCCTCTACCATCTTCTGGAGTCCACTTAGGTTCACGCCTACTGCTTCAGTGACTCCAGCCAGCCACCTCATTCTCTGTCGTCCCCTTCTTCTATTGCCCTCAATCTTTCCCAGCATTAGGCCCTTCTCCAGTGAGTCCTTCCTTCTCATTAGGTGGCAAAAGTATTTGAGTTTCAACTTCAGGATCTGGCCTTCTAAAGAGCAGTCGGGGTTGATCTCTTTTAGGACTGACCGGTTTGAACGCCTTGCAGTCCAAGGGACCCGTAGGAGTCTTCTCCAGCACCATAGTTCAAAGGCCTCAATTCTTTGTCACTCAGCCTTTCTTATGGCCCAACTTTCACATCCATACATTGCAACTGAGAAAACAATGGCCTTGATTATACTATATGTTTTTATTTAGTTGATAATAATAATAATTGTACTAGCCTAATATGAGATAATAGACATTAATGGAAAAAGAGAGGAAATATCTGGTGTAACATGAGATTTATACTAAACATTTATGTACACTATTGAACTATTGATTAACCCAGTCATCACGTTGCTTTTTAAATATCCAATTGTAAACTGAGAAAATCAATAAAATATTATTTTAAAAAAAGAGTTTCCATTGATTTCTTGTTAAATACTCAGGAATTATTCATATCTCTAACCATGATGTCTTACATAGTTGTTTAAGAAGCTGATTTAAGGAGGTTTTTTAATTCTTATATAAAACTCTAGGAAAGGCCTCATGAAATATAAAAGCCCCATAGGATTGGCCAACTGCACCTACTCCATCAGATGTGGCAGGCTGCAGACCCCATCAGCCAAGGATTTCTGCCTGGCGGGGTGCCAGAAAAAAAGCCTTTTCTGCTGTGACTTCCACCCTTTGAAATATTGTGTCAGTCAAGGTGAGATCTGCTCCTGTCTTAGCCTCCTGAAAGGGCCTGGAAACCTGGTTCTGCCAACTGGCTTGGGGGCCCAATGGGGCCATCCTACTCTGGAATTGTTTCCTACATCAGAAGAAAACCCCACCCCCATCCTATTTACATTCCTTTTATCCAGTTTTGTTTACTTTCAATGTTCTCGTTTTAAAGCATTTTAATGCTTATTTTTTTAATATTCTAATTGTTTTATACTATTGTTTTGATAGTGTAAGCCACCCATACACTTGACAGTGAGATGGACGGCAAATAAATATAATAAATGAAAACGTGGAATAACTAATCAGAAGAGGAAAGAAGGATCAAAGAGGATGGGAACCATAACCCAAAGCTAAGATGCAACACTGTGTTTGGAAGCCAGGCTCCAAGGCTGACTAGATGCTCTTCGATGTTTTTCTTTGCGCTGGAAGAGCAAAGGAGTTGATTTTATTAACGGAAGGAAACGAGAGCCGGCGACCAGACAGTCCTGGCTCTACTGATCAAACGCCAATCAGAGCACGAGGGACTCTTCAGCAAGAGTCGTGAGACAATCACGGCGCATCTTCACGCGGTGGCTCTATAACTCATTGTCCAATCATTGCAAAGCGAGGGAGGAGCCTTCGGCATTACGCAAAAAACAAACAAAGCAACTGCTGTGAATAAGCCAACAGGGCGAACAAGCGGGATCGTTTTTCAGAATGTTTATTCTCCCGTAGTAGCATTAACCTTTTTTTTTTTAATTGTAACCGTCTAGAGGCACTTAGGTGAAGTGTATAAATTTGATAAATAAACCCAGTGGGCAACTTACACCCAACGTTAACATGGAGCTTAGAGTGGCAAACACAGATTCAAACACTCGCTCTGCTAATAATTTCCCGTGTGTCAAACTGTTCGCCGAATGAATCTCGATTGCAGACAAATAAGGGAGTCAAGAAACAAAGATGCCAAGCCAGCTCGAGCTTTGTGGAGGACAGATTGAAGGAATGTCAGTGTAGCGTTGAGGGGTAAGTAAATGGGTTAGATGAACGATTTAGCCTTCTATTTTGCATACAGTAGCTAAATTTCAATCTTGTTAAACTCAGTCGGATTTCCACACATACGTTAGACAGCGGTGTCCGTTTCCAATCTGTTATCCGAATAGTTCTTAACAGTTAAGTAAGCAGGTAACAAAGCCCTACATACATCCTCGCCCTCGCAGTTCTAGAGTTCTTTAGCCCTCTCGCAGGACATCCCTAGTACAGTTTCTACCACAATCCTACCTCGATTCATTTTCTTATCTTTCTGCCATGTGCAGGAAAATAATACAGGATTTCCTCCCCTAACAGGCAGCACAGAAGGAAAAAAATGGGCGAAGGCAAATTTCCCGCAGGCATCAGAATGAATGGACCACGCAAGGTTGGGAGCAAGCGTAACGCCAGTCCGTGAAAACGCCCATTTTAGAGCAATACGAGATCGAGGCGTGAAATAGCTCCGGTAGTAGTTTCTACTCACCGACCGGGGTCCTTGCAGCAGCAACGATAACAACGTCCTCTTTCCTGCAATCCATGATGCCTCAAGGTAGTAGAAGCCCCGTCGCTCCTGCAGCCGCAACTCTTTCTCTGGGCAAAGTGCCCAGCGCCTCCCTTAGAGTGAGGCAGCGATGCGCACTCTGGTCCTCATTGGTTACCCCGGGCCCCGCCCACCTCTTTTTTCACCTAGGGGAGGGCTAGAGTCCGAAAGGGCGGTCGTGGTCACGTGATAGAAGCTGGGTTGCGGCTGATGGAGGAATTTTCAATCGGAGACAATTGAGAGGGGAAGGCCGGCCTTTCCGCCCCTTTGGACGCTGATACTGCGGGTTGCACGCCGGCAGCGATGAAAACCAGGGAACCTGTTTATTCGTTAAGGTCACTGTAATAATAATGTATGATAATTGGGAGCTCTTTCCCTAGGCGAAAGCACGAGGAGTTAAATCTATCTCTATGAAATGCATTATCAGAAAATCGTCCTGAAGGTTCATACCAGTTTTCCTCCCTCACATATTTTATGCTGCAGTCTCCCTCCAAAATAGTAAAACCAAATTGCCTAACTTATTTGGACTTCTTACAGATATCACAGTTATTTTGAGGGTCACATCTCCCCCCCACCCTCCAAGTTTAATTGCAGCTTTTTGTTTCTTGCCCTCAGATTTACACATAAATCCGTGGACCTGTTTGGGTCCCACCTTTTAACCCAACCTCTGTAAGGCCCCACAAAAGCCTTATTTTGGTTGCTAAATGCCACACAACAACATTTCTGGAACTGCAGTAATTTTCAACATGTAAAACAGTTTCTTTCAAAAATGTTTTCTCTGCTGAACAAGATTTGTAGCATTTTAGGGCAGTCTTCTTCAGCCTGATGCCCTTCAGATGTGCCAGATCAACTCCAAAGAACATCTAGCCAACAAGGCTTTTATATTTGCAGAGAAATTCACAGGTTTGTACTGTAGTTTAACATATCAGAAATGGACAGTTGCTTTACAGGCAACAATCACAATTCAGTCCCATAGTAATTTTGGAACATCTACTCTATAAACTTGAACTGGGTAAATCGGTGCATCATAGGGTAAAACATTTTTAATCAAGGTACTACAAATGGGATAACGTACAGAATAAGTCCAAAATCCAGGACTTATGACTCCTGTGGTACAGAGGTTTGGCGAATGTTATAAAAAATTCATGAGAATCTTATAACACAAAACGTCATAAAACATTTCTTGTGATCAATTCTTGACTGCTATACAGTTCAACGTGGGCTACTCTCAAGGCAGATACATCTCTGAGTATCTCCCTGAATTTTTAAGAATTTTTCAAGTATATTAGAAGTTCTGCCACTGTTGAAGGCATTGAGGAATCTGACAAGGAAATATCTCTTGACACAATAACCCAAAGGATCATTGGTTATCCAGAAGAATACAGTAATAAAGAGCAATTAACTAGGTCAAATACCATGGTTTATTAAATGGTAAGGAAAACAATATAAAATCTGTCTTAAAATAAATCATACCACAAATCACATAAATCGTAACACTCAATGAAATCATTATCAATCACTTCCAATCAATTACAAATTCCTGAGTGAACTTCTTAAAAATTAGGATTTGTGGTTGCCACAAATTATATATCCTGGGATTACTCCTGAATTCAAAAGTGCTCTTAGTGCTTCAGACTTTTTGCGATTCAAAGGATCTGTGAACATGGCTAATTCTCTATTTAAGGCCACTTTAAGGTTTTTACAGGTAGTCGTCAGCTTATGACCACAACTGAGTCCAAAATTTCTATTTCTAAGCAAGGTAGTTAAGGGAGTCATACCCCCTTTTTATAACCTTTTTTGCCATGGTTAAGCAAATCACTATAGTTGTTAAGTGAAAGGTGTTCATTGGGCAATTATGGCTTCCCCCATTGACTTTGCTTGTTAGAAGCTCCCTAGGAAAGTTGCAAATTACAATCCCAGGATCTCAGGATGCTGCAAGCATTGTAAATACACGGTAGTTGCCAAGCATGGGACCGTGGAGATGCTGCAGTGGTCATAAGTGTGAGAACTGGCCATGTCACCTTTTTCTGTTCCACTGTAACTTTGAATGGTGATGAAATGAATGGTTGTAAGCAGAGGACTAATTCTATAGCATGGATTAAGATCCACTGAATGACATAAGCAATTTTGTGATAATCAGCTGGAGTTTTTTTTAGGTTAGCAGTATTATATGGTGGAAATACTTTTCTTCAAGGTGGTCAGTGATATTGATAATGCATCAAAATAAGAGCAACTAAGACATGTTTGTGCACTAATCATAATTACAGTACTTATACTTCAAAGCTATACTAGCCACGACAACAGATCACAGTTAGCCATAGTGCAGGATTTTTTTAAAGAAGGAAATTTATGTTCTAATCTAAAGTATAAAGTTGCCATGACATGTCATTACTAGAAACAATTGCCATAAACCAAATATAGAGATGAATTCCTAGTCATGTCATCAAATATACAGTTTCAAAAGGTTAGTAAATCAGCAACCTTTTTGAACTGAATGCCAGCAAAATGTTGAAACAATCAGTCTGCCCCTATTAAGGACTAGATAAGACTAGTAGCTTTGATGAACTAGAGTGCAACTGCAAACTCTTCTTGTTCAAATAATCGTATCTTACACCAGCAGTTACAATACTGACATCCAAAGAAGTGCAGCATTTGGAATATTCCAAAGTACATTCATGACAGTTGATAAAAGAAAGATTAACCTCTTTCCATTTTTTAAAATCATATAGATTATACTTTCCCTACCTATTATATAGCTGCTGATTGAATTAATTAGCACTGTTATTCATAGCATAGAACCTAACATTCTGATCCTTTAGGAAGTCTATCAGAACAACACAAAAGGAGAGACGTAATATCATGACATACTAAGTCCCATCACTGGTAATACTTAGTGGTATGTCTCTAAATCTGGCCAACAAAATGACGTCGACAAAGTTCTTTTCAGTATTTGGAGTCTATGGGAGCATGGGTAACGAGAACCCGGCTTAAACTCAACCCTTGTAAGCTGAGCAGCTGTGGGTTCTAGGTCTCCTTACATCTTGGAATTTCCCATCATTGGTTCTGAATGGGGTTGGATTGCCCAGTAGGGGTACATTATGATCTTTGTGTGTCCTAAACACTTTTGTCTTCATTGGTCCCTCTATTCATAAATAACATTAAACATATTTAATATGATTTTCAATGTTTTAATTGCATTTTATAGAAACATAGGGAATAGTAAATGATATTTTTATTGTTTTGTAACAATCACTGATGGAGTTATTAAAAGATGAAATTGATTTTCATCTTTTCATGAAATAATCCAGGAACGTCTCATTAAAAGCTCTATAAAATTAAAATTTAGGTAATAAATTTGTACTTATACATGGAAACATTGCTATCCAAATCTAATATTTACTTTTCCCTTAAAGGTTTGTATAATTTAATATAGCACGCTCCTGTGAAAATTGTTAAGAAAATTTAATAGCCCTAGTGACATTTAATGTAAGACTGAGCTTTTAATTTGAACTGAACTATATGTATATTTTACATGTATTCTAATTCTATTTATTGTGTATATTTTCAAGGCAGAAAGCACAATAAAAATAGGCAACATGAGCAGCCAATTTCATTCCAGCATAGTTTTCTATTTCTTTAAGGATAGGTGGAGCACATTTGGTAGGGGGGGGAGCTCTGGTTGTTGGATTAGGCCAAAGACATAAAGACATGGTTTACAAGCTATACTGGGTGAGTTCACACACTATGCTGTAAACTACACCAACTCGTTGTACTTTAGCCATTACAGTAGATATAAACTAAATTATTGACTGCTTACTTGGAAATAACTAACCTAATTTAAGTAATGTATTAAACAAACTTCCAATTTTATTTTTTTACATTGATTTTGAGTAAGCAATTAAATGAGTTAATTTACTGTCACGTAATAGTATTTATACTAACTAGGTAGGGAGACATTACAATACTTGAGTTTCAAAGTTTGCTCTTTATAGCCTAAACACACACACCACACACAAACAAAGGTTTGATTTTAGAAGCGTGGAATTCAGAACTTGAAGAAAGATGCTTATAAAAATAGGGGAAAATAAATAGACATGTTAAAAAAGAGGAATATCCTTGTGTATTTCCAGAAAGCAATGCTACAGTCTTATACTATATTCAGGTGTCAATCAGCTACTGCATCTAGAATATAAATATCTGTATGATCATTTGTTGACAGGGGGAAAAATGCACTAAATCTCCTCATTTCTAATTAGTAATAGTCTAGATTTTATATTTTACACCTGCTAACCGTCCTTGAGAAGATCTTTAATTTAGATCAATAATCTGTATTGGGGTATTTCTATACTGATCACACAAAGTATTTGGAACCCCTAATTTTATAAAACTGAATGATTTGGACTGGTTCTTCTGTCAAAAGTCATAATGCGAATTCTATGGTACACTGCAAGAGGCTTCTTATATTTTGCTGTATCGTCACCTGGAATGATAAAACGAGTTATGTAGAATTATAAAAAAATCTCAACCTTTGCTGTCCCCCTAGTGGTGCTGCAGGCTTCTCCAGAAAAACAGAAACTTTAAAAGCACCGCTGCTTTGCTTACTCAACCTCATCAGCTTAAAAAAAAAATCGACCCCTTCTACAAGTGTTTACAACCCCTCCCATCAAAACTCACCTGTCAAAACCCCTTGACTTACTACATTGTGCGAACCTATCTGTCGGTGTTTGAGAAACACAATTTATGCTGATCATAAATGAATAAATAAATGAATGAATATCAGCTTCTTTCTATTCAAGGTAGCTAACTAATATGATGGGAGGATGGATAGGAAGGGTTTTTCTCCACCCCAAAATTCCTCTTTACAGATCTGGGAAAGAAGAAAAAAATCCTTTACCCCTACCTCTGTGCATATGTAGTCTTCACACGGGTGTCAAAAAAGTAGCTTAGATTATTCAGAAATCCTCACAAATGGCCAAACTAGTAGCCTCTTCTTTTGCTCCGGAATAGAAAAAAAAAAAAAAGGCTTGGTAGCAGGTTTTGGACTGCCTCACCAAGTCAGTATTTATTTTTAATTTTGTATTCCAAAAAAAAAGAAAGAAAGAGAAATAGAAACAGAATAAACAAAAGCGGGATAAGTAGAATGAAATAAAAAGAAACTCTTGGCCAACTTTTAGCCAAAGATGGCATGCATGCTCCCCTCCCTCTCTTTTCCTTTGCTGCAGGGAAAGAGAGATGCTTCTTTGGCTCCACTTTGACAGAGGTAGTTTCACACTGATGTTTCCATATCAGGAAAATATTTTCTGTCACTTTGGGCCAGTCACAGTCAGCCCACCCCACTCCATGGTTCGGTGGTTGTATGGAAAATAGGAAGAGGAAGGAGGATTAGGTATGTTATTTATAAAAATAATACTGGCGGGATGAAACTAAATATTAATTCTAGAGGACAGTAGGATGTTACATGTTTGTTTATTTTAATAAATTTATATAGCCACCCATCTCTACATAGGTGGCTCTGGATGGCTTACAAAATTTTAAAAATCCACCATATAACCCCCCTCCACTCCCCCCCATGGCATCAACAACACAATCAAATCAGCCACTTGATTGGCTCTGTCTCCATTTATAGTCACCAAGCCCATTGATAAAACCATGGTTTTTAAGGTATACATTATGCAAAATAAAAAACAAAAAAAACCCAGCTATCATTTAGTAGTATCTACAGGTGGATTTTTAGACAGATATATGATGGTTAAATAGCTAAATACATCACTAATTGAAAGACAATTATTATATTCTGTGATCCTAATCTATATTAGGGTACATGAATGATTTTTGTGTATTTGAAATATTAGGATGTGACCATTACTAATGATGGTGCAACTATTCTGAAGTTGCTGGAGGTAGAGCATCCTGCTGCAAAAGTACTGTGTGAACTAGCAGAATTGCAAAAGAAAGAAGTTGGAGATGGGACAACTTCTGTGGTATGTATGGGCATATCCAGGTGCTACTGCCAGTAGGGACAAGAAGCGTATTTTTAAAATAATCAAGAATGCCAGCAAAGACTGTGATGTGGATGCTATTGTACATCATGGCACTAATGATCTTCAAAAAAGGGAAAAAATGGATCCAGGAAACTACAGACCTATCAGCCTGACCTCAATACCTGGGAAGATTCTGGAAAAGATAACCAAGCAATAACTCAGTGAACACTTAGAGGCAAACAAAGTCATTACCAAAAGCCAACATGGGTTTATCAAAAAGAGATCATGCTAGACAAATCTTATTGCGTTGTTTGACCAGATGACAAAATTAGTGGACCAGAGGAATGCTGTGGATATAATTTACTTGAGCTTCAGTATGGCATTTGATAAAGTAAACCACACCCTACTACTTGATGAGATAGAAAAATGTGGGTTAGACAGCATTCACACGAACATATTATAGAACAATTATATACAATAAAGCATTTGTTCAGTGACTGTTGAAGATATGATGATGCTGAAAAAGGAGTTATGGGCAGTTCTTGTTGTGATGATGACTGTCTCCTGCCATCATGTGATCATGATTTGGGTGCTTGGCAACTGACCCACAATTAATAATGGTCACAGGATTCTGAAGTTAGATAATCATCATTTATGATCTTTATTGCTGGCTTCCAACAAGCACAATCAATGGAGAAATCAGCAGGAGATCGCAAATGGTGATCACAGAACTGTGACGCTGCAACTGGATGGGATTCGCTTAATAACTGCAGTTGGAATTGGCTTTGTAAGTTGGCATGGTCATGCAAATGTGCTTTTATGACCGCATCACTTAGTAACAGTGTCTTGGTCCCAATTACTGAGGACAAGTAATAGTTTTAAACTCTAATATTGGATTAAATAGTTTGTGATACAGAAATTTAAATCCTTAGGATCCCAAGGTACCTCTAGGGTAGTCTTCCCAGGAGAGGTCCCCTTGGGATATTTTTGCAAGTACATACCAATGTCCTTGGCTATTCTGGCTCAGTCTTTTAGTTGCAAGGAACAGCATCTAAATTATGTCAATTAAAGGCCTGTGTGCTTCCTTGTCTTCAATGTGGCAACATTATTTTGAGATTGTTTTTCACCTTGGCTAGTTCATCCTATCTCCCTGACTTCTGATTAATTTGTGATTATATTCCACGATCATAGGGAATATAATATAGCTCTTTCAATGTTGAAAATTTCCAATAATGCTCAAAATGAGATGTTCTGCACAGCTTCAGGCTCAATGGTATTCAAAACAAAAAGTTCCATACACCTGTAGCTTGGACCATATGCTAGAGAAAGTTGAATAGCTTTGCCTCTTGAAGCAAATGCAGTTTGTAAGTTTTCCAAGAATGTCTTTCATTTGCTGAGTGAAAGTTTATGTGTTTTTGTTTTGTTTTGTTTTGTTTTACTGTTTGTATCAAGGGCATAATTTTTTCACAGAGCAGTTTTAAATTAAATGTTCTCTTTCATAGGTAATTGTTGCTGCAGAACTTTTGAAAAATGCAGATGAATTGGTGAAACAGAAAATTCATCTGACTTCTTTCATTAGTGGATATCGTCTTGCTTGCAAATAAGACCTCCTGAAGTACTTCAAGTGAGAAATTATATAAAATTTGCCCGTTAACTTTTACAATTAAGTTTCAAAGTATCACCCAATGCATTTTTTCTTTAATCAATATAGCATTTTTTAAATATTGATGGCTCAGATATCATTTTTCAAATATTGATGGCCTCTCCTATTAGTCATGAGGTAAGCAGGTATTTATGAGCAAGTAAAAAATGAAGCCAACAGTGCTTTGTTAGTACAGGTTTTCCCTTTCACCAATGGAAAGAAGGGATTGTTGTTACTGTCATGATGTTTGAGGGTTATAGTAGCATTTGAGGTTTGTTAGAACTCTTTGTGGTACCTATACCCCAGTTGTGATTCAATAAAGCGTAAGGGCCTGGGGGCAAATTAGCTAACAATGGTCTGACTTACACTAACAGGCATTATTTTTGTACCGTCCCCATTTTATCCTTTGGTTTTTGACCAAACAAATATTTGTCTTGATCCTGGTTTTTAATTTACTTAATTTTAGCTCAATTCATATTTAACGTTTTAATATTTTATACCTGTTTTTATGGTGTTTATAAACTGCCCAGTCGTTTTTCAGTGAGATGGGTGGCATATCAGTTCAATAAAATTGATCTTGATGTTCTGCTAATGTATCTGCCATGATGGCAGCATATCTCAATCTTGTCAGTATAATAGGGCTTTTGCTAGACTATAGAATTGATCTATAATATTGTCCATGAAACCTTTAAATTGTTTGACGCTTAAATGTTTACTGATTAAGTGCAATACAGATGTAATATGCTGTGTTTAAAAATTATGTTGTTTTTCTCAAAGACAGGATGAAGTTATCTGAAGGTGTTAATATTAGGATGGGTGTGAATGGTAGGTATCGGCGGCCTTCTGGTTTTAAAAGATTCAGGGGATCCCTTGTCTTCATGAGAAATCTGAGGCAAGAAAGAGTCGAAGCAGATTGTTGAAGAAAGTTCTATTTAAACTGACAGCAGGATGCTTAGATTTTGCCTAGTATCAAGAAACAGGTCTTGCTTAATATTTTTTAATACTTACTAATAAAGATGAGTCACATCAGAATTTGTACAAATTAGTACAAAATCAAAGAAAAGTTTCCTTTATCTTTCTACACACATAGCTATGCCCATTCCTCCTCCTATACATAACACCGCAACTCCTCGTTTTCCACCTGTTCGTTCTAGTGAGTGCAGAAGTGTAACAAGGATTCGACACCCAGATGCTCCAAGAGGGTGGCCAAGAGCAACAGCCCCACCTTCAATGTTAACCTGCCAAAATAAATAAAACCAGAAAATAAATAATACATCAGAAGTATCTGTTAAATCAAATATAGAAATCTTCCTTTCCTATTTTCGAATCTAATGTTTAGACCAAGGATTGGAAACCTCTGACAATAGATTTTATAGTGAAGTGGGCAAGACTCATTTTTACGTTGCGATCAGAGGAAAGTGTCTCTCTGATTGAGCCATTACTTACACAACATGCTTGCCTGATTCTACTTCAAATATACCTTTACATTTTCTTAGTTTTTTTTAAGCAAGCACCTCCTATTTGGCTATTTAGTTTTTATCCCCAGCCACCAAATCTGTGGAAGGAACATTCTGCTGGGACCTCCAGCTTTATTGTTCCCCTATGTAGTACTAGAGCTAGCATAAAATGGTGATCATTACTTTTGGCAGTTCTAGGTAAATCAGTTATGACTGAATGATGAGAGATCCAAAATGATCAGGAGGATATATATTCCTGTAGTGCAATAATACTATTCAACTGCAGAATCTGCTAATGCACCTGAAGTAAATGGACCATCAGAGAACCTCCGAGAAGCTCCAGAGAAAGGGCGCATACTATTTCATGAAGTAAATTTGCTGGTTAATAGGTTTTACTGTCAGAAAAATCATTTTGATATCCAGCCTGAATATTAAGCAGGACTTACAAGCCACTGATTCTGATCCTGCCCCTGAGGAAATGGAGAACCAATCCAATCCTTTGTAGGACAGTCCTTTAGGTAAGATTCTTACCATACATCCATTCAGTTTTCTCTTGTACAGCCTAAATATATTCAGTTCCTTCAATTGTTCCACATAGAACTTTGTTCTCTGAACTTGCTTTAATTTTTTATATCCTTTTTGGACTGCAATGCCTAGATATAGAATAAAACAGAGCTGGAAGGGACCCTGGAGGTCTTCTAGTCCGGCCCCCTGCTCAAGCAGGAGGACCTATACCATCTCAGACAAGGGACTGTCTAGTCCCGGGGTAGGCAACCTTGGCTCTTTTATGACTTGTGGACTTCAACTCCCAGAATTCCTGAGCCAGCCATGCTGGCTCAGGAATTCTGGGAGTTGAAGTCCACGTGTCGTAAAAGAGCCAAGGTTGCCTATCCCTGGTCTAGTCTCTTCTTAAAAACCTCCATGCTGGAGCACCCACGATTTCTGGAGGCAAGCTGTTCCACTGGTTAATTGTCCTCACTGTTAGGAAGTTTCTCCTTAATTCCAGGTTGCTTCTCTCTTTGATTAGTTTCCAACCGTTGTTTCTTCTCCTGCCCTCTGGTGCTTTGGAGAATAATTTGACCCCCTCTTCTTTGTGGCAACCCCTCAAATACTGGAATACTGCTATCATGTCACCCCTATTTCTTCTTTTCTTTAGACTAGCCAAACCCAAGTCCTGCAGCTGTTATTCACATGTTTTAATCTCCAGGCCTTTGATCATCTTAGTTGCTCTTCTCTGAACTTTTTCCAAGGTCTCAACATCTTTTTTCTAGTATGGTGACCAAAATTGGTTGCAGTATTCCAGGTGTGGTCTCACTAGGATTTTATAAAGCGGTACTAATATTTTGCATTATCTCGATTCTATGCCTCTGTTTATACAACCCAGGATTGTATACTATGTCCAAAGCATTTCGCTGCTCTACTAATTTAGTCACTTTATCAAAGAATGAAATAAGTTTGGTATACCCGTTATAACTTTGTTTGCTTCTTGTTGTTCACAGATCTGTTTTTTTGTTATCTTTTCCAGGATTTTCCGAGGTATTGATGTTAGACTGAAGGTCTGTAGTTTCCTGGGTCTGTTTTGCTTCCTTTCTTGAAGATGGGGACCACATCAGCCCTTTTCCAATCCTCTGGAAGTACCCAGTGCTCCAGGATTTTTGAAAGATACAGTGCAATGGTTCAGAGAAAACATCTGCCAGGTCCTTCAGAACTCTGGGATGTAATCTGTCAGGTCAGGGTGATTTATATTTGTCAAGGTCAGACTAGGTGTTCTCTTACCATTTTCTTGCTTATTTTAATTGTTGTTTCTAGTTTTTTGCAGTAGTTTTTTTGGTATGTTGGGCTATATTTTCTTTTTGTGTGAAGACTGATGCAAAGAAGAAATTAAGCAGCTCTACTTTCTCCCTATTGTCTGTTACTTCCTTGCCATCTTCTCTCTTTAGTGGACCTACAGTTTCCTTGACTTTTTTCTTCTTGTTAATACGTTGAAACCTTTTTTATTATCCTTGATTTCTGTTGCAAGTCTTTGTTCATTCTGAGCCTTTGCTTTCCTGACTTCGTCTTTGCATGTTCTGGCTGTCTGCTGATAATCAGCCTTAGTTATGTGTCCCTTTTTCCATTTTTTGTAGTTGTCCTTTTTGTCTTTCAGTTTGTCTGAGAGATCTTTGTGCAGCCATGCTGGTTTCTTAAGTTTCTTGTGAAGTGCTACTAGACGTATACAGCTGAATGTAATTTTTTCCCCCAAAAGTCAAGGAAATTTTATTTGAATACTAGCATCACTGAGTACCTAATTATATCAGATGCTCAATATGTCTTTACATTTAACAAGCAGATTTTTAAAAAATGAACATAAGATTCTGAGAGGTTCTGGATCACAGCAGAAAGATAAGCTCTTAATCATTGAAGCACCAATTTGCACTGGAAGGAATCCCCCATCTACATTATTTGTCAAGTTTCCTCAGATTGATACCCTGCAAATTATTTCAGATGACAAACTGTTTTGAATGTTACCCTTCCCATCCCACCTAGCAAATATTGCAGGTTTGCATCAAACAAAATATATTTCCGTGCCCTATTCATCTGGAGCAGAATATACATTCCAGGCTATAAATAAACAGATTTGCAATAATTGTGCTTTTATGGCAATGTTGAACGTACCTGTTCGGGCTTCAGGTTTAGTTCTTTGGGTATTACAATACCTACAGTAGCAAAAGCTTCATTAATTTCAAACAGATCCACTTGATCCAATGTCCAGCCAGCTTTTACAACCTACAGAAGATCAAGAAACTTGTTCAATTAGGATGGTTAAAAAATCATGGCTGAATTCTGTTAGAAAGTTCTGTTCCCCCCCCCCCCAATATATATTTGTAATACTTAAGAGATAAATGAGGTTCTGGTTACAACACAATGTTCATTTCTAATAAACAATTTGATGCTCAAATCAGTATTTAAGATATGGTGCTGAAATAAACTCTAATCTCAAATTTAAGCACACATATGGGATAAGCTCACAAATGCATACAATTCCAAAGTCTTCCCTGATGCTGGACTCATGCCCTCCTATAGCTATGAAAAAATGCACAATTCAATTAACATTTGAGTGTTCAATCTTCACTAATGACCAATGCACTTGTTTTCTTTCCACAAAAGCATATGTGACCGTGCACAATCACACACACACACACACACACACACACACACACACACACACAATTTAATATCCAGAAAATATACCTGGAAAAAATCAATAACAGAGAGAGTGAATGAAACATTTATTAGTAAAGCTATCATAATTCATCAGGATTGGGACAGGTTATACATATTATGGTATGAATATACTATGCTTAAAAAGAATTCAATTTTCAGAATTAACACATTAGTTCAGTGAATGGACACTGTTCCTACTTACAGCTTTTCTTATTGACGTGGTGACTACTGTTGCCATCAATGAAGGATCACTAGCAGCTTGAGCTAAAGAGACGATCCGTGCCAAAGGAGTGAGATTTCGTTTAACTGCTTCTGATTTTTTCATAAGAATTACAGCAGCAGCCCCATCACTTATACCTGAAGAGAAAAACAAATATTAACTTTTTAGGTTGGAGATATAAATGCTTTTTTTAAAAAAGTTCATATTTAATTGAAGAGTAGATAGCACCAGAATCAAAATTTTTGCAATTGTAGTTAATGATCAGTAGCATAGTTTCTTCTCCCCCCCCCCCATTTTGAGGGAGATGGTCTTAGCATTAGGTATAATATTGCATGGTTTTTTTTAGTTAAGTGTAGTTTCTACTTGCATTCTTCCTCTGCATTCTTCGTCTAAGACCTTAATCACAATACCACACTCCAATAATTCATGTTTCTTCCATTAAATTCAAACTATATTAATTGAATTAGAAAAATGTCCCCCCCTTCATTCAAGTGAAATAAAGATAAATTACTAAAACCCGAATACATGATTTGATGGCTTATTTTTAAATTGCTCAACAAACCAACCTGAGGCATTTGCTGCAGTCACAGTTCCTGTCCCATCGGTTATGAAACAAGGTTTCAACTTTGCCATTGTTTCTATATTGCACCCATGGCGAGGATGTTCATCTGCTTTAACTTCCATGGGACCTGTCAAAAACAAGTATTTCAGCAGCAGCCATTTTATACTTGCTGCAAAAAAGGAAAAGTGCAATTTTTCTAATAGAAATTCTACTTCTCATGCTTTTTTCAAAGATACGCACTGCTCTTACCCATGGTGTTTAACATCTGATAAACTGTCAAAGATGTATAAGGGTGTGTGTCAAAGATATGTTGGAAATGTAATCAGCCCAAAGGTACAGTTTTATTATCTTTCATAGAAATGTTAAAAAGGCTAAGAAATACTGGGATGAAATATGTATTCGTTGAATTCTTGGAATA